GTCTAGTAGACAACCTGAATGATGTAATTCGGAAACGAGACAGCGGACTCCTTGTATCAGTCTTATTCCTAGACTTTAAGAAAGCCTCTGATAAGGTCTCACACAAAAGGCTACTCGTCAAACTAAATTCCTTCGGAATACACAACCCACTGTACTCATGGTTTGCTTCGTTCTTAACAGAACGTAAACAGATGGTAATGTACAATGACTGTCTCTCGTCCCCTAGACCAATCACCAGTGGAGTCATCCAGGGAAGCGTATTAGGGCCACTTTTGTTTCTTATGTATATAAACGATATATGTAACACCACAGAATTTGGGAAACCATACTTATATGCCGATGATCTTGAAATAGTATGCAGCTATAAGCCTGAGACACTAAGTGAAAGTGTATCTCAGATCCAAAAGAACCTCAATAACTTAACTATATGGAGTGAAAAATGGCAATTACCATTTAACCTCAACAAGTGCGGGATCATGCACTTTGGAAAGCATCCCTATAAACCGCGACTTCAATTAAATGAAAGTAGAGTCCAAACACTCGAATCAGTACACGATTTAGGGATTAATTATACGGGAAGCCTGAACTTTGAAGAACATGCCTCCTCTATTATTTCTAAATCTAGACGGCTAATTGGTTTTATAATGAAAACCTTTTTCACAACAGAGGCTAAACTTACTCTCTACAAAATATGTGTACGACCCTCCCTTGAATACTGCTCTTTTGTCTTCTCTAATATGAATATCACAGACAAGATAAGAGTAGAAGATGTTCAAAGACGTTTCATACGTCAACTACTAAGATGTAACTCGAATCTCGATTACACAGATAGATGTAAGCATCTATCTTTAGAACCTTTATGGCACCGTAGGCTAAAGAACAATTTAATATTTCTCTACAAAGCGATATATGGGCTCTCCTTTCTTACATCCTGCCCGACTATCACCCACGACCCAGCCTATAGACTTAGAAACAACGCATATTCACTACTTACCGTAAAACACCAAAAACAAATGCGTTGTAAGTTTTTTATAGTACGGTATAGTTTATTTTGGAACAGTCTGCCAATGCCTATCCGTAACTGTGATACGTTTACCAGATTCAAAAAGCTAATAACCTTATTTCTAGACTCCGAAGAGCCTCAACATTTCCTTGAACTCCCCCCCACCAATGAGGTACTTTATTACGGACCGCCTAGTATCTAGAAAGAACAAGATTATAACAAGTTCGACTGTTAATAATATGAATATAACCAAATCACAGAATATATGGCTTATCCTTTCCTATTATTCATTGTTTATTAATCATGGCCTTATGATCCTAACCCTAGCTTTCAGTTCCCAAATCTCTACAGGTTAAATGTACATTATTCTTCCTAAAAGTCATTCCTTTTTTTCTACTGCAAGTAGACAGATAGCTCAATCTTATGGATGCTGATCTACTAAGGCCGATCATACAAAGCTCAAAATTTGGCCACAAAGTCTTGTGAGTTTCTCAATGTTTTATTTGTCTTACCCTGAAATTTTTTTCTCTACCCACCGAGAGAAATCAAAAGACATAATCGACGAGATCGGAAGAGTATATTTGGCGATAACAAATATCTCGGAATTCTCTTATCTAATCTGGCTAGCGATTGCGGTAGATGTTGACTACAGCGTTAGCACACGTGATCTGGTGCGAATGCATGACCAAGCGCCTTCAGCTAGATGAGTCCACTATAACATATGGTCAGCACCCAATGTCGGAAACTTACAGAGCCATTTATTTTGGGGATTCATTTACCGTTACAATATGTTCAGTTTATTGACTACTGCCTCTCACATTCACAGTCACTTTTTGGCTTCATTGTGTACAAATGTTATATCCTGTTTTATGGTGTGTTGCGGTCTGTTTGGCTGATATACAAACCCAATATGTCTGAAATAAATGATTCGATTCGATTCGCATAGTGGAAGCTGGTATTGGTGTTCTGGACTCAAGTAGACGGGCTAGGCGGACATAGGAACAATAAGAACACTAAGCTTCTCATAACGGTCGAACATCATTGGTTTGGCACGGTGCTAAGTTTGCATAAGTCGTATTTTAATTGGTGGATAAAGCACGTGATAAAAAGCCGGACATAAAGTCATGACAAAATCCTTTCTGAAACCATGTGTTCGCTGTCTCACAGGTTATTGGCTTCTACAAATGTCATTATAGTCTGCTTGACTGTTCTTTCCAATATTTTAACCATAACACTGATGAGGTTGGCAGGTCTTTAGTTCGATGGAAGTTGCCTTGGTCCTGTTTTATGTATGGGAGTGATGATTGAATCCTTCCAGTCTTGACTTTGTATTTGGGTCTGGTTCATTGTCTAGAAGAGGTTCCTGAGTGAAAACTGCCCCAAAATACTTAGCCATATTCTCTGCTTTTTCCTGATCTTCCTCTATCATTTCAGATCCACTCTCTCCTTTAATTAGGTTGGGAATCCAATGCTGCATCCTTGTTCAGTAATTTGTGCACGAGAATAATCTTTTAGGCTGCTTGAGTGCAGATTGTGCCAGCTGCATTTCAAATTTTCTCTGAGCTTCACGAATTTTTGTCATACACTTGTTTCTTACGGATCTGTAGCGTTCCATCGTATCTGCTGTGCCAAGGTGGATGGCAACATCCCAACATTTCTTCTTTTGTCTTATTAAACGTCGAATATCCCGGCCTATCCAGGGATGGCCGTACTTCTTCTTCTTTGGAACTGTCCAGGGTATGTATGGTTGAGTTACCCGATTGTATAACTACATGAAATGAGTCTATGCCTCTTGTACTGATACCCTTTAGTCAATTTCCCAGTCTTCAGCAGATGCTATGAAGTTTGTTGCCTCCATGCCTGCCCCCTATATGTTAGGACGGACCGGCGTAACTGTTTGACAGGCCATGTCAGCGATGAACTTGAATAAGATGACTGCATGATCGCATCTCTCCAGAGGTGGGAGGAGAGTCATTTGGCCGACATCATCACCGTGTGTGAAGACTAAATACAAGAGAGACGAGGAGCTTCGTAAGTCATATCTGATGGGACCTCTAATGTGTTGTAATAAAGCTAATCCAATCGAGGTTTCTAACAGTTTACAACCGAACGACCTTATCGATGACCCTAATTCTAAGTTAACCCAGTTTATATACGGTGCATTAAAGTTACCTACTATAAGGGTTTTACCCCTATTACACCAGGACCTAAGTTTGCTTAGGAGGAATTCACCTAATACACATTCTGGAATGTGATATGCCACAACTAATTCAGTATATTGTCGTCTACATTTAAACTTGAAACGCACCAGTTTACATGTCCCTGAATCATGTGCTACTGTCTCAACTACGTTCCACTGATTTGTTTTACCTTTAAATCCCTGAATGAAAATAACATGGAGCATGCTTTAACATTACTATCACGCTCTCCCACAGCCGCAAAATAGACAAATAGTTCATTAATTTTCTCAATCACAGTTTGAGGGCTTGGAGTTTGAAGTATGATAGGCGCATTTAGTAAAACGTGCGTTCCATCATGCTCGTAATGTGTTAGCCAAGGGTTAAACCCATAATATATTATGATCTAATGAGGGTAAGTGTAGTGGGTTTTTTGCCAAAATTTTACATAGTCTGAAATTTAGCGTTTTTAACCCTAATTGTATTATACTCATGATGGCGCACATTACCCAAGCAACAATAGGGAAGTGACATTCACTACAGATACTCAATGTGAATTTTAAGCTGAAATCGACAGAACTGTCACTTGTTTTGTTTGTTTTCGGTAAACAGTTATGCCCGTTACAATTTTTTTGATGATACTTCTAAGCTGCCAGCTTTGTTTTTTGGATATTTTGAGTAGATTTTGCTAAATATTCTTCATATATGTGAATTTTGAGTATTTTCGTCAAGGTTTTCCCAAAATTTATCAAAACGTTACCTGGGATGTATCTTTTATTCACGCTGTACGGTGGAGAGCCGCGAACGTCTTGAAATCCGTGTACGTATTTTCTATGTTTGTTGACTTTATCAACCATACCTAACTGCTCTCCACTTTTTCATCTTATTTTCAGATTTGACAATACTGTATGTTGTTATGTCAACCAATCAACTTTCAATTAGTTGAAAAACTTGCTGAAAAATCTTTTAAATCAAACCGATATCAGTCATATAAAATACAAACAGACCATCTTTTATGCCTGTCAAATACTGAAGTCTTCTGTCCTTTTTTAAAGTCATATGGTTTATCACTTTAACAATCATTTTAATGTATTAGCGAGCACTTTAAGCTGTGCAAAAGGTCACTGTTTAATACTAGTATTATTTCTCCTGACTTGTTTTAAACATCTGTTCGAATCCAGTCTATTTCTAGTGTAGTTGTCCAATGACATGTTTTTAATTTGATTGAGGCATATGACTTATCAATTTTAACAATTGGTCATTAGTTAATTTTAAATTAGTCACTGCCTAATTTTTTCTGCAATAAACTCTGAATGTATACTCTGATTGTATTATTTTATTTATATTTACTTGAAGGTATACCATATGGTGTTCAATCACGATTTCTACCTCTTATATTTCGCAATAAAGGTCTCTCACTTACTTCATTAGGTCTACATAAACTCCTTCATATTCCTTGGCTACTTAAAAGCTTTTATGCTCCGGTAATTGACAGACATGTGAACAAAAGAGTGTGGTTATTTATCACTTTCAGTGGTTTGTTTTTTTGCACAGTCTTATTACTTCACGAATGTGAACAATTGGTCAGTGGAAACAATTATTTCATGTTCACTATTTCTTCTTGTCTTTTTATGTATAATTTTTGGGCAGCTTCACAAGACATTACTGTTGATTCACTGACCTTGTCCACCTTAACATCGAGTCAAATCTCTTTAGGGAATACTATACAAGTTGTTGGCTACAAATGTGGAGCTATTATTGGCGGTGGATTTCTTGCTTGGTTATCAGCTTTTGTAGAAATCAGCTATCTTTTCATATCACTTAGTTGCTTATATGCTAGTGGGATGTGCTTTTGTTTGATCGGAAAGTATTGGAAATTTTGTAATGTAAAACAATTTCACGAAAAAACGTATATTCAAGTAAATGGTAAGGTTAAATTGATAAACTGCGCTGTGATTTGTATTTTTACAACGTTTTCGCATACTATTATTTTGTTTTTCATAGGAATTTTCGTCTAGATATAAACGAATAGTTTCACAGTAGATGAGTTCCGAGTTAATATCAAATATTAAGGAGGAGATTATATTTGTAAAACTCGGCGGTTCAACTTTAAGCAAATCCAACGTTTCGCACGGGGATCTGGTTTTTATTTTTATGTTATGCGAAACTTAATAAAGTGATGTACTCTTCAGACCTAATTCTTTCAATGCAGTTCATTTTTAGATAGACCAATACTTCCATCTTTAAAGGACATTATCAGTGCAAGGGGTAGTGATTATTACCCAGCTGCCTAACTTAAGGCAAGCGGAACGAGGTCAGAATCTTGGACCTTCTAGTTAAATGCTAGGTGGTTTAACCACTAATTAGTTATGTCTTACTCAACTAAGCTATATTTACGCCAAATACGTAAACTGCTTCCACTGCTCCTGATATCTGGAAAGACAATCAAATAATGTTTGTGTTGAATATTTCATGTGTAAAGTCAAGTTCGTCGGGGAGCAGTATCTGCTACTTAACAGTCCTGTCTCCGTTATAGGTCGAAAAAGTGATTTAGTTCATAATATTCTCAGCAGGCATCAGTCGAGGCTTTTGAACTTCAGTTCATCGTCTACTCAAAAGTGTCGTCGATGAGTTAAGTTAGCTAATGTTAAACAAACCGAAATCAGTTGTTTGTCTGATTGGTGCAAGTAGGTTTGCATTTCCTGCGAAAGCGTTCATGAAACAACAGTCACTGGTTAGAAAGATCCTAGATGACTTGGCTTAAAACTAGTTTTAATTTTTCCAGATACATTCATACTTTCAGATAACGTTTTACAATTTATTACTTTTTACTTTTCCTAATCCTGACCTTTGTATGTTGTAGTATTTCTCTATTTCTTGATTTCCTCTCTTCATACTTTTGAAAAAGTATTTCAAATTTAATGTATAAAGCAAAAATCCACGTTGTTGTGTTCGTCCGTCAACGCCCATGTAATTGAATTGAGGAAGGTGATACGTGCTTTTTGCTTTCCATATGTGACATTCTGAATTAATTTCTTTTGTTTGTTATGGGACGTAGTTTGGAAGTGAGTAGTAAATGTTTGCTTCTTCGAGCACTCTAATTAATAATGGAGGTCCGACTAAGCTTTACGTGACTGCTGCAAGCTATGCACTAATTTCATAACACTAGAACATCCAGAAAATAAAATGTAAGGGTGCTAAATCCTTCTAATTCGTACGTTGGACTTATTATTTCACTTTAGGCTGGTTGACGTTAGGTTGCGCATTTTCATGTGTGGGACTTCAGTATTGGCTTGTGAATGGATTGAATTATTTTTTCAAATTAACCCAGGTGTTAGATAATTGGAATAGCCATACAAACAAATGGTCTAAGCAGTGCAGTGACAACCATAACTTCAGCGTTCGGTATTTTCACGAGAATATTAACTCTACTATGAAAATACGACGTCACAGCCAATAATTGTTTCAATGAACCCCAATAGAAAGCAAAGACTTTTCGGTTGTTCTGCAAGGTATTCTTAATCCATGCTAAGAGACTTTAAATGATATATCTTAAAACCAATCGAATTCCCGTAGGCGCATTCGTTTTTGATCTTCAAATCTTGAGTTTTGATATTTATGCGGTTTCATCCCTTGATTTTATTCGTTTCTTCTAAAATATGTTTTCGAATGCTTAGTTTATCGTTATCAACAATACTGTGCATAAGGTGTTAGGCGAATTGATTGGTGAGGTTGTGGAACTTCATCAACTGGGGTGCTTAGGATATGTGGTACGTACGCCTAATCACCACCTACCTTAATGTTTAATGTTAGCTGGTGTATGAATTAGCTAGGAGAAAGCTAGTATCTTCTAAGCCGAAATGTAACGTTAGTTCATGAGGTCATTGACTAGTGGCCTAAGGCATGTTGGTAAATGAGGACTACTTGGTTTGGGTCTGCGCGATCAATGGTGGAAAAAGTTGGATAATATGTCTCAGAATCGCAAAAACTGGTTAGAGACTAGGTAACATAGCTCTCAATTGTTCCTAATGACATAGGGGCATTCATTCTGTCTTCCCCTAAATCCTAAGTTTTCAAATTATCTTATGATTTTTTTTACATGAATCCATATCTTACATGCTTAAACTTTTTTATGACCACTACTATTTTTGCCATTCTGGGATTTGCTTTGACAATTTCATCTCACCGTGCTAATGTGATCCGGAAAATTGAACCGATTCGCATTTGTGCCAGGTTCTTAGTCGCATATAAATGACTGATAATTTAAATCGGTCACAGTGGCCCAAATGCATGAAATCCTTGCTTTGTTCTAGATCAGAAGTTCCAGTACTCTCATCAGCATACCTTTTCATTCCATTTTTCTGAACCACATTCACAGTCTTTAGTCCTCATTGCCATTACTTACGCCTGTTACTCCCAATGGAGCATAGGCCGCTGACCAGCCTTCTCCAACCCACTCTGTCCTGGGCCTTCAATTCCAATTATGCCTAATTTTTGTTCATTTTTCTCATGTCTGTCTATATTTCTCGGTGTAATATGTTCTTTGATCTTCCTCTTTCCCGTTGGCCTCGAGGATTCCATGTGAGGGCTTGCCATATGACGCTGTTGGGTGCTTTCTTCGATATGTATCCTGTCCACTTCCATCGCTTCTTCCTCCACTGGAATCTGGCTTGTTCTTTCCCACAGTAGGTTGTTGCTGATAGTGTCTGGCCAAGGGATCCGAAGTATTTTGCGTAGACAACTGTTAATAAACACTTGTATCTTGTGGATGATGGCTTCCGTAGTTCTCCAAGTTTCCGTCCCATACAGTAGAACTGTGTTGATATTTGTATTGAAAATTGTGACTTTGTTGTTGGTTGATAGTTGTTTTGAGTTACAGATGTTCTTCAGCCTCATTGTCATTGGTACTACATTATTTTGATTCTTCTAACTCATCATGTTAATTTGTATGGGAACTTGGTCCAATGCACATCTTTGTCAGGTTATACATTATGACTGAATGACTGATCTCAAATTGTTTTCGTTTTATCTCGTTTATTGTGCTCAATTAAAGTATGACAAATTGAGCTGACGCATGCAAGATTTAATACTGTTTATGATTAATTGGTGGTAGTAGTCTGTTAGCTTAACGGGTTAAATTCAGAAAGAAGCAGAAAAAAGCACTGGTTTCATAACATACTGAGGATGCCATTATAACATATTTGGGTTAATCACGCTTTACAGACCCTATACATTTTATAGTTCAATTGATTGAAGTCATAATTTTGCATTGTAATATTATATATCTTTGACTTCTCTTATTTTACGTGATTATTTGACTTTGATTTTGATCAGAGAATGAGAATTCAGACGATGAACAAAATTTAACTATTGTGTCAAAACGATATTCGTACACAAAAGCCTTCAAAATTGCCCTGGGTCATTCAGGTGGTTCACGTTGTCTTATTGTTCTTCTGTTGATTTATAAACTTGGAGAGCAAGGATCTATGAATATGCTACCTTTGATGCTTTTAGATAGAGGATTTTCTCTATCTAAAGTTGGATTTTGGACAGGTGTTGTTGGACAGTTGGCATCTATAATTGGGTCTACATCTGGATACTATATCCAGAAAAAGCTCAGGTTTGTTTAAGCTATCGGAAAAATACTTTCGAATGTTTAAAAAATGTTACGAAAAGACGAAGTTGGTCTAAAATACATGGTATGCTTGACTCACTCCATTTCAAACAGTCTGATCACACATTTATTTACCAAAGGATTGCATGTGAAAACTAGTGTAGGTCATTTAAGTAAACGGTCAAGTAGACAAAATGTTTTTAGCAGAAGTATATAACACAAGATGGTTTATTATATTAGTAATAACGGGTTTTCACTTTGTCGTTGGCACTAATATTGATTATGAATTATCAGGTCGGGTTAGAAACAAGAGTGAATTACTTCTGGATACCTAACTAAGGTTAATATTTCCCTTAGATTAGAAGTCATAAACTTGAAAGTGCACCGAATGCAGTTCCTATATAGGGGATTAAAAGCTATCAAAATGTTATTTGTATCACCTATTTCGGTTTCTTGTTTTGCCTTCGTTTACCTGGGATTGAGGGGCTAACGAAATACGAAGCCATTTCCGTCATATCTATCAATTGAATAGGTCGATTACTGTTTCCTACACTTTTAAACCATTGAACTTCATAGAATGTTGTTATAGGATGTTATAGAGATCGTTGAATCTATAGCTTCACATCACAGACTGACTTTTAGGTAGATGACCAATGAAAGCGACGAAGCAATGGTCAGTTGTTTCATTCTAGTGTGGAAATTCTCAACATCACACATCTACAACTTCATCTCCTCAGGTCTCAACATGAGCACCTAACATTTTGATCACAATTTACATTTCTAACTTCAATGAATTCACGATATGGTGTGACCAACATCCATTGGGATCGGGTTCATTTGTATCACATCCAACTGGTCACGGCTTCTTACTGGGACTCTAGGATTTACATCTCGAAGTTAGTCACCAGCAAACACGTGGTGATTGTTATCATGTATTGGAAATATCGTTAAATTTTGCCTATTCATTTACATGATATTAACGTCCATGCAAAATACGAGTTTCGTTCTCTTAATGACGATCGATTTGGCAGTTTTATGCCTTTTTCTTGTCTGTTTTCAGACTCCGTTTCAAAATTATGCTGTCCAACTTCATTTTGTACTGTATAGGAAAGGGGTTTTGATATTAACTAATTTCTATTTTAGAGTAAAAACTTTTGTAGCTATCTATTTAATAGTGATGTCTCAGTCGCCCATAGTAATATTCATAATGTTTTCCACTTGGCAACAAGTAAAAACGTTACTTAAGTTAGTTTTTCTTTAAAAAAGGTCAGAAAATAATGCAGCTTACATGAAGACAGTAGGGATAAGATGAACCACATGCAGCACATAGTTCGGATTTTGAAGTCGTTTTCTCCTAGATGCTAAATATTTCAGGCACTTTCAGGTTTATACACTAGACACTCAAATCATATGTCAATGATTCAAACCATTTTAGCTTATTTGTACATGAACAGTTGAACACTTACATTCCTCCCTCATTAAATATCACGGTTCAGTGCATATGACGTAATCCTTTATGTGCATACTTTGTCGTTGAACATAAGACAGTTGTTCAATTGTCGTTCAACAAACGTATTCTAGTTTAAGAATGATAAAGAAAAATTGTAGTTTCTATTCGATTAGTTTTTCGTCATGGCTCTACAGTAATATAATATATATGTATGATTTGCAACAGTGAAATAATACTCAATAATTATATAATGACACATTGATCATAAAATAATATTGAGTAATAGGGAGAAAGAGGATTATAATAATCAAGGTAATTATTCGAAAAATCAAGCAGTTACTACGTTGCATAATATATAAAAAGAAGGGACTAACAGAGTATTTTGATGGAAGGTTGGTATTGTAGTAGTTGTGTAAGAACAGAGGGATGAATTTTGAGAATATGTAAAATACAAGTGGAAGTAATTAGAAAATAGTTTAAATATTTTTAGAAGAAAGGAATTCATCAAAGTTCAGCTACAGGCTCACTCCAATACTGATGGGCAAGTTATAGAGAGTGGTTGTAAAAACTTTTGAATGTTAAGGCTTGGTTTGTAAACACCGATCCCAATGGTTTCAGCGTTGTGAAAAAGTTGAACTCGTAAACCAAGTGGTAAATTTGATAGAATATGGTGGATAACCTTAAAAACTTTATTCATGTCAACTTGGTGACCTGTGTCCACCAAATAAGTGAGAATATAACTGAATCACTCATACTCGTCTTTTGTTCAACCAAAACTGATGGTGTTCTGCTATGAGATGACGGATTTGTCAAATTGTACTTATTATATAACCGGCTCAAAAGGAGCAGTTGAATTGGTAAATATACATGGATGTGGAGAATTCAAGCAGTCATTCTTAATAAAGGTTCTTATTATGGTGCGGTTGTAGAGCCATGATGAAAAACTAGTGGAAAATAAATTTCTCAATTCGTTCTTTTTTTTATCAAATGTCGAAATGAGCATTCCCATTGAATTTGTAATTCACTTAGTGGGTGTATTTGTTGTTTTTATTTTGTTCTCTGAGTTGAATGATGTGATTGTGTTAGACTTATATTGATCTTTTTTGATAACATTATCATCAGCTTACAATTTCTTTTTGACACTTTTAGATCTCCGCTAACTTCAGTTCTAAGCCTGATGATAATTCGGGCTTGTTTACAATTCCCTCTAACAATGATTGCTTTCAAATCTATTTGGATAAGTGCACCTAACGTTTCTTTCTGTAAGTCATTCGATTTATTCATAAAAATTCACTGTTATTTATACCAGTATGTGTAATTTTTTTAGTGCTGTATTGTATTTAGTTATAGTTTTGAACAATGTGAATTAAAAAGGTAAGTTATGTAGTGTGTTGTTTAGAATATTACGGTATATCCATAACATTACCGAAGTTTATAAAAGGGATTAGATTTTAAATAAATAATAATTTCAGTGGTTAAGATCATGAGTCAGTTGAAGCTAGACCACCATGGAAAACCTGGAAGAACTGGACGGTCGTTTCGTCCTATTGTGGGACTCCTCAGCAGTGCGCATCCACGACTTCACCCCCTGCGAGATTCGAACCCAGGACCTACTGGTTTCGCGCGCGAGTGGTCTAGTGGTTAAGTAGGTCCTGGGTTCGAATCTCGCAGGGGGTGAAGTCGTGGATGCGCACTGCTGAGGAATCCCACACTAGGACGAAACGACCGTCCAGTTCTTCCAGGTTTTCCATGGTGGTCTAGCTTCAACTGACTCATGATCTTAACCATTGAAATTACTATAATATCCACAAAACCCTTCTAATATTAAATAATAATTGTCGAACGGACTAAAACATTATGATAGATTAAAGATCAAAGACATAACTTTACTATGAGAGAGATTTTGATATGATTTCACAGGTAGGTAAATAAAAATCCTTATAAATTCGATTAGAAATCGAATAGAGACAATCATATCATGAATAATTTGATGTCAGATATAAGTAAATGTTTATGTAATGCATTCGTATTCACTTACTGTCATATAAAATGCAGAGATTGTTATGACTTGTGAACCGTTAAACATCACGTGATTTATTCTCAAATCAGAATACAACTTATATAATCTTAACATTGTGCTATGACAATTACATATTGACCGGTATGAGCAGCCTAGTATCATTATTGATCCTTTTTCCTTTCTAGCCCTGCTTGTTGAGTTCAGAATGCCAATACTAACTATCACTATACGCATACTCATAGGCATACGCAAAGCAGACCACATCATACCATAAATTAAAAAATAACCATTATACAAGGTCAAAACAAAATGTGGCTGTGATTGTGAGAGACTAATTAATAAATTGGGTATAACTTAAGAATAGTAAATCGTATAATAATAGCCTATAGGTCAAAATAAAGTCCATAATAAGAGGAATATGAATATAAATAATCTAGTTAGTAAATAGTTATGCAATAAGAATACACGTATAATATTAGTTCATTAATAGTTCTCAGAAGTTACCCATAATTTAATCTTCGCTAGGCTATAACATAGATATGTAGGCTTGTCTTGTAAATTCAGCAGTATCGAGTGATTTTATTATTTTGGTGTATTTGGCATATGACTGGCAATGGAATCCAGGTTGCATGTTTCGTCCTGGTTGGGACCCATCACCTAGATATACCTTCATCTCTGTGTTAATGTTTACATTGAAACTCGAATCTAGTATCTTTCATTCAATGAATTATTCATTAATCTACTGACTCCACTTATCCACTATAACAGACATGGATGCATTATTGTCGGTTCGTAATTTTTCATTGTTGATATTCAGAATTGAACTATCTGAACACATTAAGTAGCACAGTGGATAATACTTTGAGATTTGAAGGAAAAGGTCATGGATCAAAATCTTATTTTGTGAATATCAACACCGAGATGTAGACAAATCCAGATAGTGATTCCCAAATGGTTATTATTTCTACTCACATGCAAAACATTCTATGGCTTGATACATAATTTTAGTTCAAGGCAGTCTGATCAAGATTCACATATGAGAACAGAGGCTGATCAGTTCTAAATATCAATGAAGAGAATAACATCGTTGTTCTTGCTCTCCTGAAGTTGATAAAGAGAACTATATGTCTAAATAATTAGTATCTTCGTCTAGTTTAAATTTTACTAGAAAGTGTCATTTTCATGATTGAAATCAATCTCCAAGTATTATTCTATTCGACAACCTGCTGTAAATAAGGGATGTAAAACTCGTCCTACATTGACAATGAAAAAAATCCATTTCTGTAAATACTCTTTATCTACACTATGATATCGTGAATGAATGAATAAAGCTGTTGAGGTTGCCTGGTTCTTTAGTGTTGTTATGATTTAGTGACTTATAATTTTTATTACTGTTAACAATAAAATAGTCTCATTGATAAGTATCAGCTAACTAAGACTTATTGAACCAGAATGGGAAGCAAAAATCTAGAGCACTGTACTTATCATCTGTTGCGGTGGTGTTTAGTAAGAATTTTACAATTAATTTCGTTCTTTTTAAAAATAAAACCCCTTTAGATTCATGAAATTTTTAAGTTTAATTACGAGACAGAATTCATTAGTTATCTTTTTTTGTCTGGTTACTGGATATCTAATACTAATCGTGTCTTTCAGTATGGAGTTGTGAAGATTGTTGAATTCTTTGAAAATTACTAGCCGATCTAAGTTCAATCACCATTGAGAATCTAGAAGCACTAGATGGCCGTTTTGTCCGAGTATGGGACTCCTCAGAAGTACACATCCACAATTCCGCATGCAGGAATCAAACCAAGGATTTTTTTTAGTTTCGGACACGAACGCTTAACTTCTAGACCACTGATCCATCATGCAACGGTGCTTGTTTTCTGACGTTCTGATTGGTTAATACTTTTAAATCTAATCATGAAGATAATTGATTAGTTTAAGTTTCAATTGGTTCTTCTCATGATTCAAAATAAAAAGCAGCGTTTCAAGAAGGCGATAACTTTTTATCAGTTTAACGAACATATATTTTATGTAATTCTTATAATAATATTTACTTTCTTATTTTTTAAATTCATTTAGGGATAGGTTGTTCATTAATGAATATTTTACTAGTTGTGAGTGGAGGGATTACAACAATTATGTTCACGTTGATGATGCATTGTACAT